TTCGCGTCTGCACGAACCTCGTCGTTCCCGATCGGGATCTGTGACGTCACGGGACTGGACTCTGGTGCCGAAGGGACGTGATTCGGGGTACTCGCTTTGTCCTTTTCCTGCTCGGAGTTCTTCTTCTCCCAGAAGGATCGGTCGAGATAGCGAGCCAGCTCAGGGTCGCTTTCGGGACCGTCCACCTGGGGAGCAAGGTTTACCTAAGGAAAAGTAAAACCTTTTTTTTTTAAATTGGATTTTAAATGAGGGAAGGTAATGAGGGGAAGGGAATGGATTTTTTTTTAATTCTGCGTACTCTTTGTTCCTTGGATTCGGCATCGGACTGGCAAAGTGCCAATGCCAGGTGCAAGTCCTCTTCTTCTTTCAGCTCCGCTTCGGACTTGCTCGGAGACAACTTCCGAAAAAAAACATTAATGATAACTATAATGATACTAGTAACGATCGTTTGCAAGGTAATTAAGTTGTGACTGCCAAACAAGGTGAAGTGAATCGTTTTCTTTCGGCATTCAAGCTATGCCAGGGGCTTCAATTAACTTTTTTTTATCAACTTCCGCCGATCTTGAGATGAATTTGACATACTTGAGACTGCTTGGACGATTCCGAGGTGAGGTCGCCTTTCTTCCCAGTTGAAGAGACCGGTCTGTTGGCAACAGAAATGAGTGTCACGAGGGGCTTATCGCTGTGTGTGGGGGGGGGGGGGGGGCCAAGAGGGGGTGTGGGGGCCTCTTATCAGGCTGACTCACTTGGTCCGTTCCTCCCAACACGTGTCGCAGACGCGGACTTCCTTCTCGATTCCGAATTTTGGCAGGATCGCCTGCTTGCTGGAGCAGGGGTCGCAGAAGCTCTGGCCGCAGGCCCTGCAGTGATGCTAATCAACGAGATCGCAATCAGGGAGAGGGACACGAGCGCCGCGTCGGAGGATGGCGGAGACGAGGGGAACCTTTCGTCGCACCAGGGAGAAGTAGTCGCGGCAGCGGTGGCAGCGTTCGCCATCCACCCACTCGGGTGCGGTGGAGGATGAGATCATCGCGTCGCTCACTTTCAGCGTCGGGAAGGAAAGGCCCTGCGCTTTCAGTGCGAATACTCTGTCCTGCGAACAAGCATCAGACGTGCATCAGACTTTCGTCAGACGTGCGTCGGAGGCTTCCGTGCAGACGAACCTGGACGATCTCGTAGCGGGGCTCGTTCCTGAACGCGTAGGCCCAGACCTGGACGAGTTCCAGGATTTTGGATCGAACCTTCTCGTTGTTGGAGCCCTGGATGAGTTCCTGCAGTTCGTCCATGAACGCCCGAGTCGCAACTTCTTCGTGGATCGGTCCACCGCAATTCTTCATCCAGGATTCTAACACCTGCGCGTTCGATCGTTCTCGGAACAGTTTTTATTTATTTATTTAAATGATATCGTCACCGGTAATACCGGTAAATCGATGCGAGGATGAAATAAATATAATAATTAAGATGAGGAGAGCCGTCTCACCTGCAAAGAGAAGAGCTGCACGTGAGGATTCTGGTCGTACAGCTTCTTCTTGAGAGCATTCAGTGCATACTTGGGCCTGCAATAATCGAATGATGCTCACGAAGTAATCACGAAATAATCACGAAACCCACATGAAACGATGAACCGACTGTGTGTCCCCCTGTCGGATGCAGTCGCAGAGCCTTAGCGTCGCTTCCAGGTCTGCCTCGAGCAGGAGGTAGTTCGTGGCCTTGTCTGTAGAAAAACCACGATCATCACGCGGAATGGGAAAAAAAAGGCGGGTGAAAAAGAGGAAAACGCACCTAGCAGCCGATCGAATTGCCACGTTGAACGGAACATCCTCTCCGCCTCGCTTCCCGAGCTGGAATGACTTCACAGGGGAAAGATAAGTGCGGATAAGGGAAGGTGGAGGTTCCTATTGGGGTGAGAGGCATTGCGGATGACGTTGTTGGAGGTACATCGGTGCCTCCATGGTGACGGGAGGATGGGGGAGGAGAATGCCCTTCGGAAAATCCGATTTTTTAATGATATAGTTGCATTGATTTGTGGGTGCGGAATGCATCGGAGGAGAATGATTGGACTCAGCTCTCATCTCTAGTAACGATTTCCTTCAGAAGGTCCTTTCTGCGCGGACGAAGGAGCAGTGATTCGCAGACACCGACACGGCCCAGAGTCGCCGAGCCGATGAGGGACCCATGTCCATTAAACCTTCCGATAACCGAGGTCGTTCAGATGGTTGCCGATGGCCATATGGGTGACTCCAAATGTAGTCGCCAATTCGCGAGTGGTGGCATTCGGCTTCGCGTTCAGGGCGTTCCGCAGGGCTTCGTCTGAAAGTGTTGCAAGACTTTCTTTCCAACCTAATATACGTGGTACTGTATATATATATAACGCTTCAAGCTATTTAGGCAATGTTCTGGCAAATCAAGCAAATTTAGCCTGTACTTTTTATTTTACATCATTTAATCAATTTTGCAAATTTGGGGAGCACGAAAATCTATTCCCTATAAAAGACCAATTTGAGGTCATCCTTTCAGATTTTCCTGTTTTCTTCGCCTCTCTGGATGTTTTTTCGGTGAAGCAATAGCCCAATCAAAATTTCTTCATTGGACCGTTGATGGCTTTTCGTCAACGTTTATATCAGACTTACTTGGACCATCACTGGCATATGGTCGGGCACGTCCCGTTGGCCCTTCATCGGAGCAACTTTGACTCGTTCTTGGGGAAACTGCACATGCCCCTCCACCTGAGAGAGTTGAAGGAGCAGTACCTCAAAAGAGTACCTTACACAAGTACAGTCCTATCGCCAAGAGCTTAAATATCGCGTGCAACATTCCTTACGGATGTTAAGCAATCCAGGAGCGGTAATCAGGGGCGCAACCAAGGGGGGGAGATCAGGTGGTCTGAATCCCACCCCCTCTGAACCCCTGCCCATGCTCTTTACTTCTCCCTCTCCCCCAAGGTTGGGGGAAAGGTAACACGAGCAAACGACCCGCTAGTGAGGCTGGAAAGGCACAAAGATAGGAGGTGAAAGGTGAAGGTCACGCCAGTTACGTGAAGCAACTAATTTTAGTAAAGTGAAGGTGTCAAGGAAACTTCCTGCACATGTGACGCAATTGAATTTTTTCTGAAATCGGAAGGACGACGATTCAAATAAAATGCGTGAATCGTACGGGCTAATGAATTTCCAGTTGCACATTTCCGCAGTGATATGTGGGCTGAATCATGAAATTAATTTAGTTAATTTTAAGCTTTCTTCAGATATCGATTGTGCTTTCATCATCTACAGTTGAAATTCCGTTTCCCCTATATCATAACAATTTTCTTCGTTTCATTTTCTTTTTTCTCCCCGTTTCGCGTTCTTGTTGAGTATATCTCACCTGCGGTTTATATGAAACACAATACAACCTCTTTATGTCCTTGAGTTGCTAATTTTTTTGGGCAGCTTGAGTTTTCCTTTCACTGGCATAGAAAACAGAAGACGAAGTTCTTATATCAGACGAGCCAGGAGGAGCCGAAGTCCCCTCGGTCCACCCCTGCATGCACCACTGCTCCTGGTCTGTGATTCGTGGCATTCCACTGCCCATGCAGTGTTAGTGGTATACAGAGTCTGAACTCCGATAGGAATAATCTGTTGGATGTTCATGATCATCCAACGTGCAAAATATGAAGGATTGCAAGACGAATACCTAGAAGCTCTTTGCATCTGTCATTTTCCCAAGTTGGATACATGAAACAATCATCTCATTCGAAATTGGCAAGCCCCTCATTTTAATGCATATATAGTTTGATACAGCTCTCCACGGTGGAAAGGAGACGATCATGCATGTCAGTCGAAAGAGATGAGTTCTCCGACTTGGTCGTTGGGTTTGTTTTCGTAAGGCATCTCGAAATTCTGTGGGGATTGGAGACCGGTACCCATCGGCAGGGAAATGACAGACTGCATCCGCATGCCTGGATATTGAGATGCATTCAACGCCGGGAACGTTCCTATAACACCGTGCACGCCGTCCTCACAAAAAGACCCCCCCCAACCGCGAAAGTCCAGGGAACTCATCTCACCGGGAATCTGATGCAGCGAAGCGTGTCCCGGCGGAGCAGGGACGCCAGAAGGAAAAGAACCCAGCGGCTGCCGCTGCGGCGAACCCTGCACGCCCTGCGACGGAGCACCGAGATCCTGCAGCGCCGGCTGTCGAAGAAGCGGTCCGACCATCCCCGGCTGCTGGGAGGGCCCAAGACCCGAAGGCTGCCGCAGACCCACGGTTTCATATCCCAAAGGCTGCGGAGAGACTCCGGTCGGCCGACTCGCCGCCATTCCTCCCACGTATCCAGCTGGAGAAAAGCAGCCATCAAGAGTTCGTGCCGGAGCAATCGTAGATCGCCTTTTTCGAGTCACAACGAACAGTAACATTACGTCAGCATTCTTTTTTAAAACAGGATCCTAATTTGTTACGAAACGTGGAACATAAATCTAGTTAACAGAATGCATTAAATAAAAATACATCAATTAAGCATAAATCTAGGAATATCCTGCGATACGCGTACGTTAGGTCCCTCGTCTTCGAGCATCGGTCTCGGGAAGAAAAACAAAACGTAAACAACACGGATGCAAACGGAATACCGGGTGGGACGGGGTAAGCGGATAGGACGTGAGACAGAGGGTAGGGAACGGGCATCTGCGCCTGTCCCGTTTCGGACGCCTGCTTTCGCTGCTCGTGTCTCATCTGCATCTCGCGCTCCTGCTCCTGCATCCGCTGCATCGCCTTCAGCCGCTGGTACTGCAAACGGGCACGGGTGCATCGGTCGGCATTTTCCTTGTGAACGAAACCCAATCGCGAACCCGACGCACCTCGAGATATTCCCTTTTCTTCTTCCGCATGATCTCCAGCTTCTGCGCCATCTGGATCTGCCGGAGACGCTGCGCTTCCTCCGCCTCTCGGCGCTTCCGCTCCCTGCGATCTTCTCTCAGCGCATCCAGCGCCGTTCTCATGTCCCGGATCTGGCTCAGCCTGTCTTGAAGACCCTCGTAGTGATCTGACGGGATACAGACGCGAGTAAAAACGTTAACGCGACCAGAAATGGAACTCGAACCACTCACATCGCTTTCTCTCTTCTTCCTCCATGGCTCGAACGAGCCTAGAATGGAGCGAGGTGATGTCGAGGAAGAGCGTCTGGACGAAGGAGTCGTTCCCGATGTGTCTTCCCTCTGTGAGCAAACGAGAGTAGGCTAAGTGCTTCTAGAGCTAGACGTAGGCCCGCAAGCTCTACTTACGCAGGTCCAGAGGGCCGAGGGGCAAACTCGCACGGACTCCGCTTAGGTAGCAGCTAGCTCGGATTAACATCTTACGAGTAATTGTTTCGCGTCTGCACGAACCTCGTCGTTCCCGATCGGGATCTGTGACGTCACGGGACTGGACTCTGGTGCCGAAGGGACGTGATTCTGGGTACTCGCTTTGTCCTTTTCCTGCTCGGAGTTCTTCTTCTCCCAGAAGGATCGGTCGAGATAGCGAGCCAGCTCAGGGTCGCTTTCGGGACCGTCCACCTGGGGAGCAAGGTTTACCTAAGGANAATTTTGACATTTTCGTTAGGGTTATTGAGGTTACACAGCATTTTACTTCATTCGCCTGTTACATGTATGTAAGGCCATGACCATAGGCCTAGTGCAAAGCCCTAAGCGAACACATGTGCGTGCCTTTCCGGATCCATGGGAAACTGATGCAACGGAACGTCTCCATCCATTTGGCCAAATTTCCCCTGGCATGGTGCGTAGGCGCAGTACTTGAATCCAAAGGTAGCCATATTTCACGCGACATTCCAATCCAATGATCCCATTGGTCAGTTCTGCGTAGTTCCGGGGCCAAACACCAGGGCAGGAGGTTTCCCTGACATCAAAGGCGCCGCCACAGAGTGCCCAGTCTTCTTTGTATACGGTCTTTGCCTCCACCTTCCCTTATCCGCACTTATCTTTCCCCTGTGAAGTCATTCCAGCTCGGGAAGCGAGGCGGAGAGGATGTTCCGTTCAACGTCGCAATTCGATCAGCTGCTCGGTGCGTTTTCCTCGTTTTCACCCCCGTTTTTTTTTTCCCCCACTCCGCATGATGATCGTGGTTTTTCTACAGACAAGGCCACGAGTCCCCTACTGCTCGAGGCAGACCTGGAAGCGACGCTAAGGCTCTGCGACTGCATCCGACAGGGGGACACACAGTCGGTTCATCGTTTCCTGAGGGTTTCGAGATTATTTCGTGATTGTTTCGTGAGCGTCATTCGATTATTGCAGGCCCAAGTATGCCCTGAAAGCTCTCAAGAAGAAGCTGCACGACAAGAATCCTCACGTGCACCTCTTCTCTCTGCAGGTGAGACGGCTCTCCTCATCTGAATTAGTGCATTTATTTCATCCTCGCATCGATTTACCGGTATTACCGGTGACGATATCATTTAAATAAATAAATAAAAACTTACCCGAGAACGATCGAACGCGCAGGTGTTAGAATCCTGGATGAAGAATTGCGGCGGACCGATCCACGAAGAAGTCGCGACTCGGGCGTTCATGGACGAGCTACAGGAACTCTTCCACGACTCCAACAACGAGAAGGTCCGATCCAAAATCCTGGAACTCGTCCAGGTCTGGGCCTACGCGTTCAGGAACGAGCCCCGCTACAAGATCTTCCAGGTTCGTTGCACGGAAGCCTCCGACGCACGTCTGACGAACGTCTGATGCACGTCTGATGCGTGTTCGCAGGACAGGGTGTTCGCACTGAAAGCGCAGGGCCTGTCCTTCCCGACGCTGAAAGAGAGCGACGCGATGTTCTCCTCCTCCACCGCACCCGAGTGGGTGGACGGCGAATGCTGCTACCGCTGCCGCGCCTCCTTCTCTCTCATGCGACGAAAGGTTTACCCTCGTCTCCGCCATCCTCCGACGCGGCGCTCGTGTCCCTCTCCCTGATTGCGATCTCGTTGCTTAGCATCACTGCAGGGCATGCGGCCAGATCTTCTGCGCCCCCTGCTCCAGCAACCAGGCGATTCTGCCAAAATTCGGATTCGAAAAGGAAGTCCGCATCTGCGACACGTGTTGGGAGAAGCGGATCAAGTGAGTCAGCCTGATAAGAGGCCCCCACACCCACTCTTGGTCCCCCCCCCCCCACACGCACACAGCGATAAGCCCCACGTGACACTCATTTCTGTTGCCAACAGACCGGTCTTTTCAACTGGGAAGGAAGGCGACTTCACCTCGGAATCGTCTAAGCAGTCTCAAGTATGTCAAATTCATCTCACGATCGGCGGAAGTTGAGAAAAAAAATTAATTGAAGCCCCTCGCAGAGCTTGAATGCCGAAAGAAAACGATTCACTTCACCTTGTTTGGGAGTAACAACTTAATTACGTTGCAAACGATCGTTACTAGTATCATTATAGTTATTATTAATGTTTTTTTTTCGGAAGTTCTCTCCAAGCAAGTCCGAAGCGGAGCTGAAAGAGGAAGAGGACTTGCACCTCGCGTTGGCTCTTTCCCAGTCCGAAGCCGAATCCAAGGAACAAAGAGTAAGCATAATTAAAAAAAAAAATCCATTCCCTCCCCCCTCATTTTCCCGTGCCATCTCACCTTTTCCCTCTTTTCAGCTGAGAAAATGGGAGAGAAAATTGGATTTCAGCCCGACGCCCCGCTTGCAGTCCTTTCTAGTCATTTCAGTTCCGCTCATTAATTTCTTCATTTAAAATCCAATTTAAAAAAAAGGGTTTTACTTTTCCTTAGATAAACCGTGCTCCCCAAGTGGACGGTCCCGAGAGCGACCCTAAGCTGGCTCGCTATCTCGAACGGTCTGACGCGCTGGATGCGCTGAGAGAAGATCACTGGGAGCGGAAGCGTCGAGAGGCGGAGGAAGCGAGCAGACGACCCACTAGCGCGGCTGGAAAGGCACAAAGATAGGAGGTGAAAGGTGAAGGTTACGCCAGTTACGTGTAGCAACTCATTTTAGTAAAGTGAACCTGTCATGGAAACGTCCTGCACATGTGACGCTATTGAATTTTTTCTGAAAATTTTCTGAAAATTTTCGTTTCATTTTCTTTGTTCGCGCCGTTTCGCGTTTTTGTTGAGTATGTCTCACTTGCGTTTTGGAAAAAAAACACAATACAACCTTTTCATGTCCTTGAGTTGCTACTTTTTTTGGGCATCTTGAGTTTTCCTTCCTCTGGCATAGAGAACAGAAGTTGAAGTTTTTATATCAGAGGCGCCGATGTCCCCTCGGTCCACCCCTGCATGAACCACTGCTACTGGTCTGTGATTCGTGGCATTTCACTGCCCATGCAGTGTTAGTGGAATACAGAGTCTGAACTCTGATAGGAATAATCTGTTGGATGTTCATAATCATCCAACGTGCAAAAAATGAAGGATTGCAAGACGAATACCTAGAAGCTCTTTGCATCTCTCATTTTCCCAAGTTGGATACATGAAACAATCATCTCATTCGAAAATGGCAAGCCCCTCATTTTAATGCATACATAGTTTGATACAGCTCTCCACGGTGGAAAGGAGACGATCATGCATGTCAGTCGAAAGAGATGAGTTCTCCGACTTGGTCGTTGCGTTTGTTTTCGTAAGGCACCTCGAAATTGTGTGGGGATTGGAGACCGCTACCCATCGGCACGGAAGGGACTGACTGCATCGGCATGCCTGGATATTGCGATGCATTCAACGGCGGGAACGTTCATATAACACCGAGCACGCCGTCCTCACAAAGAGACCCCCTAACCACGCAAGTCTAGGGAACTCATCTCATCGGGAATCTGAGACGGCGAAGCGTGTCCCGGCGGAGCAGGGACGCCAGGAGGAAAAAAACCCTGCGGCTGCGGCAGCTGCGAACCCAGCACGCCCTGCGACGGAGCACCTAGCTGCTGCAGCACCGGCTGTCGAAGAAGCGGCCCGACCATCCCCGGCTGCTGAGAAGGCCCAAGACCCGAAGGCTGCCGCGGACCCACGGTTTCATATCCCAAAGGCTGCCGAGGGACTCCGGTCGGCCGACTCGCCGCCATTCCTCCCACATATCCAACTGGAGCAAAGCAGCCATCAAGAGTTCACGCAGAAGCAATCGTACATCGTCTTTTCCGAGTCGCAACGAACGTTGACATTACGATAGCATTCTTTTTTAAATCAGGATCCTAAGTTGTTACGAAACGTGGAACATAAATCTAGTAATCAGAATGCATTAAATAAAATTACATCAATTAATCATCTCTGAGAGATGTTTATTACCCATCATCGAGCATGAATATTTTTTTAAAATTCTTTCTCGGTTTTTCGGCTCTGATTCATTCCTGTTTTATGACTACCTTGAAAATCTGGGAATATCTTGATATACGCGTACGTTAGGTCTCTCGTCTTCGCGCATCGGTCTCGAACAGAAAAACAAAACGTAAACGACACGGATGCAAACGGCATACCGGGTGGGACGGGGTAAGCGGATGGGACGTGAGACAGAGGGTAGGGAACGGGCATCTGGGCCTATCCCGCTTCATATGGAACGGGCATCAGTGACTGTCCCGTTTCGTAGGGGACAGGTATCTGCGCCTGTCCCGTTTTGAAGCCTGCTTTTGCTGCTCGTGTATCATCTGCATCTCGCGCTCCTGCCCTGCATCAAGACAAGGCCGCGAGCCTCCTGCTGCTCGAGGAAGACCTAGAAGCGACGCTAAGGCTCTGCGACTGCATCCGAAAGGGTTACACACAGTCGGTTCATCGTTCCAGGGGGGTTTCGTGATTATTTCATGATTGTTTCGTGAGAGTCGTTCGATTATTGCAGGCCCAAGTATGCCCTGAATGCTCTCAAGAAGAAGCTGTACGACAAGAATCCTCACGTGCAGCTCATCTCTCTGCAGGTGAAACGGCTCTCATCATCTTAATTATTACATTTATTTCATCCTCCCATCGATTTACCGGTATTACCGGTGACGATATCATTTAGATAAAAATATAAAAACTGATCCGAGAACGATCTAACGCGCAGGTGTTAGAATCCTGGATGAAGAATTGCGGCGGACCGATCCACGAAGAAGTCGCGACTCGGGCGTTCATGGACGAGCTGCAGGAACTCAACCACGGCTCCAACAACGAGAAGGTCCGATGCAAAATCCTGGAACTCGTCCAGGTCTGGGCCTAAGGCACGCTCAAACGGGGAGCCGGGAGACCTGGACGCATTCATCTCGAACGCCCGGATGCAGATCGAGATCTTCGTGAATCGGATGAGAGCAAACGAGTGTCGGGGAAGACACATCGGGAACGATTCCTTCGTCCAGACGCTCTTCCTCGACATCACCTTGCTCTATTCCAGGCTCGTTCGAGCCATGGAGGAAGAAGAGAGAAAGCGATGTGAGTGTTGCGAGTTACATTTTTGGTCGCGCTCAGGGTTTTTACTCGCGTCTGTATCCCGTCAGATCACTACGAGGGTCTTCAAGACAGACTGAGCCAGATCCGGGACGCGAGAGCGGCGCTGGATGCGCAGAGAGAAGATCGCAGGGAGCGGCAGCGTCGAGAGGCGGAGGAAGCGCAGCGTCTCCGGCAGATCCAGATGGCGCAGAAGCTGGAGATCATGCGGAAGAAGAAACAGGAATATCTCGAGTTGCGTCGGGTTCGCGATTGGGTTTCGTTTACGAGGAAGATCCCGAGCGATGTACTCTTGCCCGAGTATAGTACCAGCGGCTGATGGCGATGCAGCGAATGCAGGAGCAGGAGCGCGAGATGCAGACAAGACACGAGCAGCAAAAACAGGCGTACGATACGGGACAGGCGCAGATGCCCGTTCCCTACCCTCTGTCTCACGTCCCATCCGCTTACCCCGTCCCACCAGGTATTCCGTTTGCATATGTGTCGTAAACGTTTTGTTTTTCTGCCCGAGACCGATGCGCGAAGACGAGAGACCTAACGAACGCGTATCGCAGGATATTCCCTGATTTATGCTTAATTGATGTAATTTTATTTAATGCATTCTATTTACTAGGTTTAGGTTCCGTGTTTCGTAACAAATAAGAATCTTGATTTAAAAAAGAATGCTGACGTAATGTTAACGTTCGTCGTGACTCGAAAAAAGCGATCTACGATTGCTCCGGCATGAACTCTTGATGGCTGCTTTGCTCCATCTGGATACGTGGGAGGAATGCCGGCGAATGGCGACCGGAGTCCCTCGGCAGCCTTTGGGATATGAAACTGTTGGTACGCGGCAGCCTTCGCGTCTTGGGCTTTCTCAGCAGCCGGGGATGGTCGGGCCGCTTCTTCGACAGCCGGCGCTGTAGCAGCTCCTTTCTCCGTCGAAGGGCGTGCAGGGTTCTCCGCAGCCGCAGTAGCTGGGTTTCTTTCCTTCTGCCGTCCCAGCTCCGCCGGGACACGCTTCGCCGTATCAGATTCCCGGTGAGATGAGTTCCCTGGACTTTCGCGGTTGGGGGGTCTCTTTGTGAGGACGGCGTACTCGGTGTTATAGGAACGTTCCCGCCGTTGAATGCATCGCAATATCCAGGCATGCCGATGCAGTCAGTCCCTTCCGTGCCGATGGGTAGCGGTCTCCAATCCCCACACAATTTCGAGGTGCCTTACGAAAACAAACGCAACGACCAATTCGGAGAACTCATCTCTTTCGACTGACATGCATGATCGTCTCCTTTCCACCGTGGAGAGCTGTATCAAACTATGTATGCATTAAAATGAGGGGCTTGCCATTTTCGAATGAGATGATTGTTTCATGTATCCAACTTGGGAAAATGACAGATGCAAAGAGCATCTAGGTATTCGTCTTGCAATCCTTCATTTTTTGCACGTTGGATGATTATGAACATTCATCAGATTATTCCTATCAGAGTTCAGACTCTGTATACCACTAACACTGCATGGGCAGTGAAATGCCACGAATCACAGACCAGGAGCAGTGGTTCATGCAGGGGTGGACCGAGGGGACATCGGCGCCTCTGATATAAAAACTTCAACTTCTGTTCTCTATGCCAGAGGAAGGAAAACTCAAGATTCCCAAAAAAAGTAGCAACTCAAGGACATAAAAAGGTTGTATTGTGTTTTTTCCAAAACGCAGGTGAGACATACTCAACAAAAACGCGAAACGGCGCGAACAAAGAAAATGAAACGAAAAATTTCAGAAAATTTTCAGAAAAAATTCAATAGCGTCACATGTGCAGGACGTTTCCATGACAGGTTCACTTTACTAAAATGAGTTGCTACACGTAACTGGCGTAACCTTCACCTTTCACCTCCTATCTTTGTGCCTTTCCAGCCGCGCTAGTGGGTCGTCTGCTCGCTTCCTCCGCCTCTCGACGCTTCCGCTCCCAGTGATCTTCTCTCAGCGCATCCAGCGCGTCAGACCGTTCGAGATAGCGAGCCAGCTTAGGGTCGCTCTCGGGACCGTCCACTTGGGGAGCACGGTTTATCTAAGGAAAAGTAAAACCCTTTTTTTTAAATTGGATTTTAAATGAAGAAATTAATGAGCGGAACTGAAATGACTAGAAAGGACTGCAAGCGGGGCGTCGGGCTGAAATCCAATTTTCTCTCCCATTTTCTCAGCTGAAAAGAGGGAAAAGGTGAGATGGCACGGGAAAATGAGGGGGGAGGGAATGGATTTTTTTTTTTAATTATGCTTACTCTTTGTTCCTTGGATTCGGCTTCGGACTGGGAAAGAGCCAACGCGAGGTGCAAGTCCTCTTCCTCTTTCAGCTCCGCTTCGGACTTGCTTGGAGAGAACTTCCGAAAAAAAAACATTAATAATAACTATAATGATACTAGTAACGATCGTTTGCAACGTAATTAAGTTGTTACTCCCAAACAAGGTGAAGTGAATCGTTTTCTTTCGGCATTCAAGCTCTGCGAGGGGCTTCAATTAATTTTTTTTCTCAACTTCCGCCGATCGTGAGATGAATTTGACATACTTGAGACTGCTTAGACGATTCCGAGGTGAAGTCGCCTTCCTTCCCAGTTGAAAAGACCGGTCTGTTGGCAACAGAAATGAGTGTCACGTGGGGCTTATCGCTGTGTGCGTGTGGGGGGGGGGGGACCAAGAGTGGGTGTGGGGGCCTCTTATCAGGCTGACTCACTTGATCCGCTTCTCCCAACACGTGTCGCAGATGCGGACTTCCTTTTCGAATCCGAATTTTGGCAGAATCGCCTGGTTGCTGGAGCAGGGGGCGCAGAAGATCTGGCCGCATGCCCTGCAGTGATGCTAAGCAACGAGATCGCAATCAGGGAGAGGGACACGAGCGCCGCGTCGGAGGATGGCGGAGACGAGGGTAAACCTTTCGTCGCATGAGAGAGAAGGAGGCGCGGCAGCGGTAGCAGCATTCGCCGTCCACCCACTCGGGTGCGGTGGAGGAGGAGAACATCGCGTCGCTCTCTTTCAGCGTCGGGAAGGACAGGCCCTGCGCTTTCAGTGCGAACACCCTGTCCTGCGAACACGCATCAGACGTGCATCAGACGTTCGTCAGACGTGCGTCGGAGGCTTCCGTGCAACGAACCTGGAAGATCTTGTAGCGGGGCTCGTTCCTGAACGCGTAGGCCCAGACCTGGACGAGTTCCAGGATTTTGGATCGGACCTTCTCGTTGTTGGAGTCGTGGAAGAGTTCCTGTAGCTCGTCCATGAACGCCCGAGTCGCGACTTCTTCGTGGATCGGTCCGCCGCAATTCTTCATCCAGGATTCTAACACCTGCGCGTTCGATCGTTCTCGGGTAAGTTTTTATTTATTTATTTAAATGATATCGTCACCGGTAATACCGGTAAATCGATGCGAGGATGAAATAAATGCACTAATTCAGATGAGGAGAGCCGTCTCACCTGCAGAGAGAAGAGGTGCACGTGAGGATTCTTGTCGTGCAGCTTCTTCTTGAGAGCTTTCAGGGCATACTTGGGCCTGCAATAATCGAATGACGCTCACGAAACAATCACGAAATAATCTCGAAACCCTCAGGAAACGATGAACCGACTGTGTGTCCCCCTGTCGGATGCAGTCGCAGAGCCTTAGCGTCGCTTCCAGGTCTGCCTCGAGCAGTAGGGGACTCGTGGCCTTGTCTGTAGAAAAACCACGATCATCATGCGGAGTGGGGGAAAAAAAAAACGGGGGTGAAAACGAGGAAAACGCACCGAGCAGCTGATCGAATTGCGACGTTGAACGGAACATCCTCTCCGCCTCGCTTCCCGAGCTGGAATGACTTCACAGGGGAAAGATAAGTGCGGATAAGGGAAGGTGGAGGCAAAGACCGTATACAAAGAAGACTGGGCACTCTGTGGCGGCGCCTTTGATGTCAGGGAAACCTCCTGCCCTGGTGTTTGGCCCCGGAACTACGCAGAACTGACCAATGGGATCATTGGATTGGAATGTCGCGTGAAATATGG